CTGAGGGAGAGGAGTAAGTGAAGAAAGAAATGTGAGAAAATTGGTGGTTTTATGTACCTAGGCAGACCAGGCAGTCTGCTGGGATGATTTCTACAAATATGCTTGTTTAGACCCCAAATATCTATACAGTAGATGTTATGCCCCCAGTAAGGCTCAAAGAACTGGTCTCTTTTAAATATCACACAGCTTGTAAGTCAGACCCAGGATTAGTACATAGGTAAACACGCCTCTAAAATGTGGATTCGTTTCCCCATGCCAATTGGTTGTGGTAGGAACTTCCTCTCTGGGGAGAATATCAGGTCCCACTGGGACAAGGACAGTCAGTTTATGGGCTTCTGATGGGGCACAGAAGCAGGGGCAGATGGTGTCTGTCCTCTAATAGAGCCTTCTTATACTATTCTCCATAGGAGTTTGGGATCCCCTTTCAGGCAGGACCCCCTCCTTCCCCTGTCTACATGAACACAAGTCCCTCCCTAGATGAGAAGTCAGGTTCCAACGTGCTGTGTGATCCCTCCCTGGCTGAGACCCAGCGTCCCCATATTAGAATAACAGTGCCCTGATATTCTACCTCCAACCTCCAGTCCCTCCAAATTCTGAGTTGATGGATCTGAGTTTAGGTAATAGCTCCTCAGGATGATCCTAATGTGTAGTCAGGGTTGCGAACCAACCAATGATCTAATGGCTCTGGGCCTCAATTTCCTCTCTGGGTAACAGGGAAAAGTCCCAGTTCATATCTCACCTTAGAGAATTCATAAAAGTCTTGATGGTGATTTGCTTTGGAAATGGGATGTGACCATTATGCCCTGTAAAGCCCCAGTGTAGGCTGCCATCTGGGTCTCTGGAGCCTTGCCCCTCTTGTGTGCATGTGACCAGTGGCACACATGGAATCCATGCTCCCTACGGTGGTTCTGTTGGGACCCTCCCCAGCCTCAGTCAGGAGGGTCCATCAGAACCACCATAGGGTTAGGCAGGTGAGGGATGAGCCACCCTTAGAAGGGCAGAGGCAGGGAAGGCAGCAAGTGCCTGGGACCCATGGGAGTCTGCGGTGGCCCCGTGATGGCTGGGTGGGTCCCAGGGGGAGTGAGCAGAGACCTGCTCCAAGTCTAATTGGTCGCCTGCTTTCTCAAGGGAGGTGTATGAGACCAGGACCCACCTGCGCCGGGTCAGCTGTTCTGTGACCTCCTGCAACACAGAAGCACAAGGAGTCCAGGAGAACCTAAGCAAGGTGTGAGGTCTTCAAAGGTCCCTAGAGTTGCTGGTGGTGGTTTTCAGATACCCTGGGGCGGGGAACATTGGGGTCACTTTGATGCAGATTAAGACTCTGACTCACAAACATGCCCTGAGCACAGAGCAAAGATTGGAAAGCATGTCTTGGTAATCTCAAGACTAAAGGTCACTGGGAGGGCAGGGACTCTGGGATGTTGAGACACCTTCCTCGGGGTCTTGTGCAGCCTGGAAGGCTCCAAGGCCTCTCTGAGCAAGGCCATGGGAACTCTCCTTGGTCTTCTGACCAGCTGTCTGCAAAGACACCAACACTCAGGTGGCTCTGAGAAGCGGCCTACCCAGCCACAAGGAATGGAGAGGGGCTGCTGCTTCCCAGAGCCAGCCACTTGTTGCTCCCTCTCACCTCCCCAGCACATACCCGTGCAAGCAGCTCCCTGCTTTCAGAGAGTGGCCAGGGGTTACCCCTACCTCTTCTCTGTAGCCTGTGGCTCATATTATACTATGAGATGGTCAAGCTAGACACAAAAGAGAACTTGACATTCTGCATCATTCAATCCAAGCACAGATGAGTGAAAGTAGTTGTGTCATTGCATTCCCAGGATGGGAACAAGGGGCTCATGGGAAAGCCTGGACAATTTCAGGGACTCCAGAGATGCAGGCTGGGGGTAGTTAGTTACCTTCCTCTTTCCCTTTCTCAGCCTGTCCCCTCCCCAGTCACAAATAAGCCAGCTCAAATCTTTCTGACTAAAGTGTGACTTCCTTCAGATCCTAGACCAGCTATCCTACCAGCTCCTTCAAGACAGAACAAAAGAGGTACAGACCTCACCACCCCCCATAGCTCCTCACCCCAGTCCTGCGCCAAAGGACCTGGTTCTCCAGTAAGTGCCACAGAGAAGGGTGTGTGGTGGGAGAGGGGACGAGAGGGGACCCTACAGTGCTGAGGTTAGGGCCCAGTCGTTTTCCCTCAGGTTGGCCTAAAGGGCTGCCCCTTGGCAGGAGAGGAGGGGTCTGGGCAGGGCAATTTTAGCCTCCTGTCACCTCTCTGGCCTCTGCCTCCACAGCATGCAGGAGCTCTGTGAGGAGATGAGGTTGCTGGCCTTTGACCTGCAGGACAACAACCGCATCATCGAACGGTAAAGAAGCTCTTGCTATATGCCAGGGAGGGCTGGGTCCTCAAACTGCCATGGCTTGAGGGTACAGAGTCCCTGGGCCTCTCCACACAGGCTTGATGGCATGGATTTTCTTTCTTTTTTCTTGTGGGGGGTAGGTACTGGGGATTGAACTCAGGGGCACTCAATCACTGAGCCACATCCCCAGCCCTATTTTGTATTTTCTTTAGAGACTTGGTCTTGCTGAGTTGCTTAGCACCTCCCTTTTGCTGAGGTTGGCTTTGAACTCGCAATCCTCCTGCCTCAGCCTACCGAGTTGCTGGGATTATAGGCATGTGCCACCACACCCGCGGTTTGATGGCATCGATTTTCTAAACAGCTGCATTGGAGTTTAAGACCATGTTCACAAGCGGGATATCATCCTGAGGAGCTGAGGTTTCACTTAGACTTTAACAAGTGAGCCTCAATACTGTCAGAAAGATGGGGCTTGGAGGCAGCTGGATTTGTGCCTGGGTCCTCATCTGCATTGAGTGTGGACACTGTGCTCAGGCTTCCCACACTGTCTCCTGGAGTCTCCCCAGCTGTCCTCAGAGTGGGCACTACCTCCATCCATATGTCCTGCCCCAGGAAACTGTGCCACATGTAGCCCAGCTTCAGTGCCCAAAGCCTGTGCCTCTCCAGCCTCGGGGGGCTGTTCTCCTGTCCAAGCTCTTAGCCAAGCTGCCAGGGAGACCCTCTACTGGGGTAGGAGTGAATGCAGTGGCGCGCACACTTTTTGGTTTTGTGCACCAGTAAAAGTCACAAAAAAAAAGAAAGAAAGAAAGAAAGAAAGAAAGAAAAAGAAAGAAAGAAAGAAAGAAAGAAAGAAAGAAAGAAAGAAAGAAAGAAAGAAAGAAAGAAAGAAAGAAAGAAAGCCAGGATTGCCAACTACTCATCCGACTAAGCTTGCACATCTGACAGGACAAAAGGCCTGCCCTGTAGCTGTCCCACTTACAAAACACATCAACACCAAAGATACGATCTCAGAATAAAGGACGTTTCCGCTTGCCCTGAAGACTGGAGACTACCTGGATAATAAGCACACACTTCCACAGTTTCCCCATCAGCCTTAAGTCTGTCTTTCCCCCATTCAGGGACAAGTGGCATGGCAGAAAGAGGCAGGGATTTCAGTGGGATCTGAATTCTGACTGTGCTCCTTACTGCCTGCTCATCAGGGTCATCCTGGGAGATTTGCTTAGCTCAGAGCTTCAGTTCTCTCTCCTATGAAATAAAAATAACAATTCCTACCTTACAGCATGGTCACAGAGTTTAAGATGTGATATGTGAGGTCCCTGAGGGCTAATGGGGCTGTGGAGGGAAGGACTTAATAAACATTCATTGTTTCCCAGAGGTCACTCCAGTCTGGAACCTTAGACTCTGGGCCAGACGTAGGGCAACCAGGAGCAGAGCTTGTGGTTTGTCCCCAGAATTTAAGAGGCCCCTTGGGTAGGGGAGGCATGTCCTTCCTCTCCACTCGGGCAGGAAAGTTCATCCTCTTAAGTGCCCGAAAAAAAAAGGAGATTCAGCAGCTTTGGAGAAACTTTCCAAAATAGCCCTCTCAGTCAGGAAGTTCTACTTTTAGTACCGACATAAATTTTTCTTGCTGTGATATGTGGTCTATTTACAAATAGCTCAAAACTTTATTTTAGTGGTTTTTCACTTCCTTATTCAGAGCCATAGCCAAAGATACAAATGAACCAATTTGAACTCCTTTCCCACCTCCTAAACTCTGGATGCACATTGCAATCACCATGGAAGTTTCTAAGAGTGCAGATGCCTGGGTTTGGAGGGTATCTTAGGCTTCCCAGGTGGTCGTGACAAGCAGTCAGATGAGAACCGGAGCAGTTCTTGTCAGGGAGCAAGGGCACTACAAGAGGACAGCTGGGCACTTGGATGGCTGGGAACTCTCAAATATTGATGGTGCTGGGCCCTGGGGTGTGATTTGCAGGTTTCTCCAATAGGTAGGTGAAACTAACTCTGCTAACCTGTGCCTTTCATTACAGATTAGGTAGACTCCCATCAGCTCCTGACGTCTGAGCTGTGGGGGGCGTGTGAGGCATCCGGAGCATTAGAATCATTCACACACTGCTCTTCTGCACTGCGGGACCCAACCCAGGGTGAGATTCTGGTCCCATCTCATCAGCCTACCTCCCTCCTGGCCACTGGTCGGGAGATGTCATCAGCATTACCTTCCAATGCCTGTTCCCCTGGGAAGCTGCACAGCCGACTCTGTCACAATTCACAGGAAAGTGCAGCAGCCACTGCCTGGACCATCCTTTGTGCTTTCTCCAGGCTCTGGGACTGCTGCTCTGTCACCCAGGCCTGGAGGCCTGAACCTGGCGAGGCTGTGGGGAAAAGAGACTCCCACAGGCCCTCCCACCCCTTCTGCATTCCCCAGGCATCAGCAGAGGAGGCCTCCTGGGACTTCCCCAGGGTACAGGTCAAACAACCTCACCTCCATCTTCCTTCCTCTTCCTCTTAAGGTGTTTCACACTGAATACCCCCCACCTCCTGGGTCCCCTAGAGTCACCATGTTTGGCCACAGATAATGTCCCTCTGTTCTTGGTCTGGATGAGCCTCAGGTTGAGAAAATGGGTGGTGGGCCAAGTGCCTGTGCCTCAGGGACTCTTTGCTTGCCTTCTGGCTCTAATGCACCATCTGGTCCTGGGCTGCCGCTAGGCAGTGCTGACGGGAGCCCTGCCAATGAGCGCGGGCCTGTAAGCCCAGGGCCCTGAGCAGAGAGCAGGCCTGCACCTTTGAGAAATAGAATAAACATGGCTGCCTTTTCTGTTTTTTGTGACTGTTACTGGGCTATCTGAGGGGCAGGGAAGATCCTCAGCTGGGTGTACTTGGCAGGGCTGGGTGGGGATCTGTGAGAAGCATTGGAGGCCACTGGTCTTCTGATTCCTGCCTTTCCCCTAAGTGGGCCCTAATTTCAGGGAACAGCCCAAGGAAGATGTTCTCTTACTGGGGGAGGAGAGGTATTATTTGCCATTCCTTCCATTTTTCTTACCCTTGTCCTTTGAGGACTTGCATAAGGTCCTGAAACTTGGGGAGAAAAAAAATGTCTACCTTTTCTTAAACTCCACATCCAACTTCTAAATACTTGCTGCTTTTCGCCATCCCCACTACTGTTCAAAAACACCTAAGCTCAACGCATGGTGTCCCATGCCTGTAATCCCAGAGGTTCAGGAGGCTGAGACAGGAGGATTGTGCGTTCAAAGTCAGCCTTAGCAATTTGGCAAGGCCTTAAGCAACTTAGCAAAACCCTATCTCTAAATAAAATACAAAAAAGGCTGGGAATGTGGCTCAGTGGTTAAGTGCCCTTGAGTTAAATCTCTGGTACCCTTCTCCCACCAAAAAAACAAAACAAAAGATGTGGAGAGCTCTGGTGCCCCCCTAGAAAGGAAGGGCAAAGTGGACCTAGGCCTATGACCAGAAATCCCTGTAAGAATCTCAGACATCTGAAGACCCCATAAACTTCCTTCCCTGCTCCTGGCAAAAAAACCCTAGGCTGTGTCCTAAGTATGTTTTGAATGTTTACATTATTTTCCTTAGAAGCCAGAGTGGTGTCTGGGTAAGTTATTCTAATTAATGCAAACTGCCTGCACAATTTAGTCTGTTCCCTGCTGGCACCTCCAAGCTTCCTTAACCAGAGCTGCACTACCCACCTAGCCTGGGCGGTGGAGGAAGTGGGTGGGTGGCAGCCCCAGGAGGACAGGAAGATGAGCAAGGAGCCCCACCATGAGCTTCAAAGCATGAAGATGACATTGGGCTTGACCCCACATAACCCCAGAGATGTGTCCTGTCCATCTTCATGGGAGGCTTCATGTCCTCAGAGGCTACTCCGTATAATTGGAAACTGTTTTGCCTAGTGACCCCGCAGGGCTAGAGTGAGGGAGGCCAAGTCCTGGAGACTGTTGTCCTCGTGTGCTCTGCTGGAGTCAAGTTCAGGCCAATGGTTCTGGCTCATCAATGGCCCCACAGGAAAGTCCCATAGTGGATTTTCCCTGGCAGCTGTGGCTGCTCTGGAGCCCAAGTGTTTGGTGTGGCTCAGTGAAAGAGCCAGGGGTTCCCTGAAAGCCAAAATGCAGATGTTTGGAGATGATACGACTCAGGCTCTGATCTCATGAGCAACGCCCGTGAGCTGTGGAGGACATTCACAGCCGAGTCTGGGCAGAGCTGCTCAGACAGATGCCTCCACCCAGCGGAAGCTCTGAGAGCCCTGGTGCCCTCCCAGAAAGGAAGGGCAAAGTGGACCTAGGCCTATGACCAGAAATCTCTGTAAGAATCTCAGACATCTGAAGACCCCGTAAACTTCCTTCCCTGCTCCTGACAGGAGTGATTCCTGACATATGAGTCCCAAGAGCCTGTTCAGTTCCCTGGATGGGAACTGAGCACTACAGTGTAGCAGGCCCCATGCTACTGACACTGGCCTGGCCCTGAGGAGCTCACCTTGGGAAGGCAGGCACGACAACAGGATTTCAACAGCACCGTGTAGGAATGCATAGGAATGCACAGCTCAGGGTAAGAAGTCACCATCATTGCAGGGCAGGGTGTCTAGGTCAGACTGGGAGGCGCCAGAGGTGACTTTGGGAGCAGATGGCCCCAAGTGGAATCTTAGCAGGTGAGAAGGTAATCCTCATAGCAGTGGGAATAGCATAAGCATCCGTGTGGAGCTCCTATGTCCCTGGGGAGTAGGTTAATGTAGGAAGTTAGTGTCACAGAAAGGGAGGAGCCAGTCCCCAAAGTTTCAGGACACATTAATTAAGGAATGTGGGTTTTACCCCAGGGGTGTAGTTGTTACCAAAGGGCCTGGTGCCTCTTTCCAGGTGGAAGAGAGAGCTGTGGGTAGCTCTCTCTCTTTCTATCTCTCTCTCCCCTTCCCTCTCAGAATCCACAGTTTCCTCTTATTCTGGTCCAAGATGCAGATTCCCGGACCCAGTTGGATTGAATTCCAGAATCCAATTGGCAAGGGTGTGGCCCAAGAATCTGCATTGTTGATGACATTCCTGCTGATTCTTACCCAAGCTAAAAGCCAGGCAATGGCAATAGCCTTACCTCCAGCTTCTTGGGAAGCTAAGACAGCTAAAATCACATGTTTGAGGCCAGTCTCAGCAACTAAGTCACACGGTGTCTCAAAAAAATAAAATAAAAAGGATTGAGATGTGGTTGAGTGGTAGGATGCTTTCTAAGCATGCATGAAGCCCTGGGTTCCATCCCCAGTACCACAAAAAAATGAAAACAAAATAACAATCTAAAATTTGAGGATGGCGAGGCAGAGTTTGCAAAGGTACTGCAGAGGACACTGAATGGCCCTGGACTAGGTGCCCCTACCCAAGCCCCTTTGTAACAGCTGCGTCCAGAGAAGCCAGTATAAGGACAGGATGGATTTCCACAATGGCCTGGCTGCCCACCTCTGAATCCAGCACTCATTTCACAGGGGGCTCCCTCACTTGGGCAGTGGAACCCCTTAAAGAATTGCTACAACTAGCCATTTTGGGTTCAGTTCAAAACAGCTTCGATGATTTTCTAAAGACCAAATTCCATGTTGTTAAGGATCCTTAGTCGGGCACCTCCAGGGGGACATGTTGAGGGACCGGCCAGGATGACCCAAAGCAACTTTATTTTCCCTGGAAGCTCAGAAGGACTGCCACCTGGGGCAGCATCGATCCTTTCTCTGCACCTTCACCAGAAGGAGGTAGGGAGGAGGGGAGAAGAGAGATGGGAATCACCATGGAAAGACAAAGAAGGGAGGGAGAGATGAAGAGAGGTGGGGAGAGATGGTGTAGTGGGGAAGGAGAGGGAAAGGGAGACAGAAAAAGAAGGAGAAATGAGAGCCATAAGACAGAGGAAGGGATCAGTGCCAGGTGGTGGGGGCTGGGGTGGGGCAGGGATATCCCATGAGGTCATCCAGGCCACTCTGCTCTTGATGGTCTGTCATAGTCCGAGTTCATGGCTTCCTGCCACTGTAATGGGCTCAGAG